ACTTCTATATTAATAGAAAAAAAATACATGCAGAATTAAAAAATCTTATATAATGTGATCATGAGTTTGTTCTATAGATGTCATATGAATTCTTCCTGTTATTTTAGATTATCTTAGACCCTCCATGAATTATTAAATTCGAAATTTTTATTCTTGTACATTGTAACTTACATATACACATGTATATCATAAAATTCCAATAACGGATAAATGTTTAATGAGATTCATAAATTGAATATATTTTTTCTTTCCTGTAAATCATACACTTCCGTATGTATCTAATTAAATTTGATCAAAAAAGCTACATGTAGAATGCAGCAAAATGCACAGAGACCAAATTTCCGTCCTCAATTTTTGTTCAAATTCTAACGTTTACAAAAAAAAAAATTGTTGTATGTTGTTGAACGTGCCCCTCGACAAAATTTTACTCATATGGAGACACCACCACTTGCCGGCGGAGAGCTGCAAATTTTGTCCTACATTTGGCACTTACACGAATTGAGCAGTGAGGGATCGTTTTCGTGCCAGCACTTACTGCGACAAGGGACCTCTGTTTATACATTCTCATTCGAAGGACCGACCTCTACATCCCACAGTTGGATTCAAACCCCCAACATTTATAGTCATTAGAACATTCATGAATGAAATCATTATTATGCATCGGAAAAAGTCGGTGCTTTAGTCAATCGATGTTTCTAAGTTTCTCTCAGTTGATTCAGCTCGAGAACATGCTTTACGAATAATCAAATTGTAAAACGAGTAAAATAATTGACAAACAAGTTGCTGAAAGAAGAATATCAACAGTCCTGTTTTATATAATGGAACTTGATCCCACCTTTATTGGTTTGCGCTGCTGCTATTTTGTGTTATCTAATAAAGTTTGAGTACTGTTCGTTATCTTCATATATTACAATTCTCGAGAGGGACGTTAAACAATATACAATCAATCAATCAATCATATATTACATGTAAACTGTTAAATAAATGTTATCTTATCTTTTGCTACATTTACAAGTATCTGTTGAGTTCTAAAATGTTTCTTTTCAACACGTCATTGAAGTCAGACTTAAATATGTTTCAACCCAGATTATTCATTTATACCCTTATAGAAAGACACTTGATACCTGGCCGTTCCACATCCCATTTTGATGAGTAAATATGGGTAACGGTTTATTTTCTTTCTGTTTATTTCCGATATTTAGGTTTAATGCAGCACTAGAATGTGTTTCTGTAAATAAGATACTTCTTTTAAAAAAGTGTTCTATTAGATTTTCAACGTACAAAATAAATACTTCCTTCTTGAAATTTGAGAGCATTTGTTATGAGATCTAAGTTCTCGGTAACTAATGTTTGGAATAGAAATTCTATGATTGATTGCAGGACCTGATCATTCTATTATTATAAAAATCTAGACTTTTATGTCCTGGATAACTGCTTTAAAAAAATGCACTCTTAAATTTACTAACCTTGTCATTTGTTATCTATAAAACTATCTTGTTAACAAAATTCTGATGTACAAACATAATTATATGTATACTCTGAAGTTGATATTAAAAGATACTAGAGTTTTTGCTTGACAATGATGGTTATTGGACTCCAAGTCATCCAACAAGCTGTTTGAATTCCGAAAGGTATGAGCCCTGTTATTAGCAGACCTTTTTTTAATTTATTTTTTCAAAATATTAAATTTTTAACGTCAGAAGATAAAAACACTTGCTGTGCCTTCAAACTCAGCATCTATATAAATCAAAGACGTATTGTCAATTAATATTCAGTTTACATATATCATTGAGGGAGTTAACAAGATTCAAGTCCCCAAAGGACAGGACTTTTATCTGAGATTCACTTGGTTAACGCACAGGGATTAGTCTAATAACAAATTATACCGATACAAAAGTAAAATCTAGAGAATTACGGATACCAAGGAGTTAGTTTCCGAAGCAGTGATTAGCGTATTTGACTAACACACGGGGATAAGTCCATTCACAGGGATTTCTAGAGATTATTCACTTTTTACTATCTTATTCATATACGAGGGGTGATCAAAAGTTCGCGAACTATCTCTATATCTACAATACCACAATTCAGATAAGATAAAAATTTGGTACACACATAGCCATACACAAGGTCTATAAATAGCATATGCTGAATAAAGTTTTGCTCCTTGTCTGTGAAGTCGCAATGTGAAAATGACGTCACTATATAAGTCAATTGTGACGAAAAACCGTTTTCTCGGTTCTACTCGTTCAACAAACGACTGCATAATTTATGGCATATTTTAGAAATCCCTTTGAAATAGCGTATAATAATTTGCATATACTTTATTAAGACAAATGACTTCCCATAAATTCAATCAATGTTTCGTTTTAGTGAAGGACAGCAGATGGTTAAAAATGACACTTCTTATTTTGCCCAGTGAAAGCAAGTTTGAAAAGAGGTGTGTTTTTAATCAAGCAATTGCAATCTGCTATTCAAGACCTCCAATTTACACATTGAAAAATAGTTAAATATTTCGACAATGATATAGTTATTAAATTCCTAAGATATCGTTTACTTGTTATTTTTAACTTATTAGATATAATAAAAAGGAGGCTTATATTCTCTATCCACCTTGAATAAACGTCTCTCCCACGACAGAGGATTTGGGTTTTGATGATCGCCATGCTTATTTTTGGAAAGGATATTCTTATCCACCTATTCTGTTGCCGAGAATTGACCATTTCTGACAAATAAACTGTTTTTGTTTTAAAAAATAACTTACATCGAAAGAAATATAAAACTCAGAAAAATCTTTCAGCTTTTGTGACAGAACGCTACGGAGAAGGTCATGTGACCGCCTATTTCACGTGATTTGCGCATGAGCAGAACAGTGGCAGATGTGCATTAAAATAGGAGAGGACTTATTTAAAATATAATCAACGCTGAAACCAAATACTCTTTCTTTTATGGAAGTTATTCAATTAGTTCGCGAACTTTTTGATTACCCCTCGTATAGGGAAAATCAATTGAGGTGTGATAAATTATACAATATATCCCCATGATCTTGAAATAAAATATACCACAGATCTGAAAGATCTGTTTCATATTTGATATTTTACCAGAACAGGGCGTTATTGGCAATCTTAAAACCAAGTCACGTAATAAACATGACTTTTAATCTATAATCACCAGCTTCCTAGTAATATACCTTCATCACTTGTTCACCGAATTTTTTTTATCTCTCAATCGATTCGAGACGCAATATAACACTCTACGTACGGACAATTTCTAAAAAGAGGTAGATTATTGACAAACAAATTAATGAAACAAGGATATTATTTTGTAAGTATTGTGTGCAAATACAATCTATCAGTCAATTTATCAGTGAGTTCTCAATCGTAACAAGGAGTACACATTGTTTTGGAGCGGTCGTCAAGGAATGCTCACTCCTCCTTAGGACCTGATCCAACCTCTGATAAATTAAAGTTCCGTGATTGCTCCTGAGGTTAATTCGAAGAAAAGAAAAGATCTGGATTTTTTCTATAACTCACAATTGTCTAGTGTTGCATTACTTCGGACCATTTTTGAATCTTTGTTTATTTTTTGCAATAAATTTAGTATTCTCAAACTATAAAAAAAATTATTAGATTAGTAGTGAACAAAAGTCAGCATGGTTTTGATGATCATTTGAAACTCATTGAAGTGAAGAGTTCATTCCAGATGAAAAAAAAAACAGCCAATCCCTTTGCTTCCTCATTTCATTAAAAAACGCAGATAATCTCTTTATGTTTGAAGTATTATTTTATTACTTATGTGTAGTGTTTTGAAATTTAAAATGTAATTATAAAGCCATTTTTAAGCATCTTGGTCCTGAAATCACGATAAAAATGTGTTTCCTTTTCATTATGTTGATACTGAGTTCTACAAGTGGAATGTTTTGAAAAGTAAATATTAACGATCTTTAATCAATTAAAATATATATCTCTTAATTAAATCATTTCCACGAAGATTTATTTACATGTACATGTAATACAGTAACTGTGAAATCACAAATTTTTGTGGGCGTTTAACTTTTGCTGTTTTCAAGGTGTAAAGAGACCAACAAATTCATGTCCAGCACGAATTGTTAGATGTGGCATAAATAAAAACTCAACAATTTAAAATCCAAGAAATCGAACCCCCACACACCAAGAGTTTTAATTTTCTCTCAACGAGAAAATTTGACCCAGGAAATGTAAGATTTAACAGTAGATAATTTATCAACAATTTGATTCTTACACTGTTTATCAAAAGTCTCAAAGCAGACATCATTTAAGATATGTTAATTATGGCTGTAAATGACAAGAAAAAAATTAACTAAATTATTTTTAACTTTTTTTTCAACACATGAAATGCTTTAAGAATTTATATGAGAACCTGTATATCCAAATTCTAAAAAACTAAAACTTTTTTGTAATTCATATAAATAAGCATCATACCTTTGATTTATGCTTTGTACTAGTATTAAATTTATTTTTCAAAGTGTAATTATACTTCAAAAAACTATACATCTCTAATCATACGTGATTCGGTGTCTTGATTTGATCGTATACAGGTAGAGTGTGTTCATTCCATAAAAAGACGACGAGTTCCTTGACCATGGATGGTTTATACATATACCGACTTCAATAGGTATGTTGTGTGGAATCCAATAATTTCGAAAATTGATTATAATAAATTGTTACTAAGCATTTTCAGTGCTGTTAACCCCTATCTGTATCGGCCATTGTTTTCAATTCAGTGTTACCATTACGTGTTCAATAAGTTGAATCTTATTGGTTACCCACAGGTTACTGTCAGTGAACATGGCAATTAGAAATACTAAACCATGTTTTACAAATGATGACAGCACAAAATGTTTTAAATACATTGATGCTCTGCATCATTTTTAAATTAAAAAAAGAAGAATAAAAAATAAACTTTTTCCTTTGATCTTGAAAGCATCGCTATAACAATTGTGGTATTTTAACTCATACATTATTAACAGGGACTTTGTAAATGAGCGTATTTCTATACCCCCTGTAGGAGCTAGGCATTTCCCTGTGATATGATGACAGCTATCATAACATTGTATAGGACATTGATTATCACACTCCTCTCCGTAGAATCCTCTTATACATGCGTCGGAACAGTTAATACCCTGATATCCTGCATGGCACTCTGTAATAGTAACAAGACTTCGGCATATATGTCACTACAGTCTTAATGTTTCTTTGTGTATAGAAATACAAAAAAATTAAACAGGTTATTACAGTATCAAGTTCGACGACAGTTTTGCCTTCTACATGTATATTATTTATGAAACATATACATTACTTTAATTAAGACTTCATATTCGAAGTTTAAACATTTGTCTTTTTAAACAAAAAAGGATAGCGTATGCCAGTAGGTTTGAGTTTCATGTCTTAGTATTGTTTCCGTTCATTCTCACATGGTTTTAAAAACTTGTTTTTTTTTGGGGGGGGGGGGGAAACAAAAAAAAAAAAAACATAAAGAAGCGAAATACTCCAAGAACTCACTGAAAAGGAAGACTTATTTGCTAATGTGTAAGTACATTTATATGTATCAGGAAAACATGCATGTACTTACTAACACAAGTGTTAATGCTGAATACCCAGAAATAATCCGAACAACACCTACTTATGCCTTCCAATCTGCAAAGAAGACAATGTTTAAATTTAAAATAAAATAACCCTAAAACAGTACTGAAAATCAAATGTTTGTTTTAAAAAAAACATTGTGAAAAAAATGCTTTCAGAAGAATATATATTGCCTATTATTATACCTCATTATAAATATTCTACACAACGTGTTATATGACTGGTTCTAGGTTATTACGTGATCGGGCCGTAAAACTTCATATTTCCCGGCCGTCGGCATGCTTTTCATCATATTCCACCTCTTCAGAACACCTAGTGTATTTTCCCGCAATGTAGTTCTCGTTCGTTGAACGAAAACTCCCGAGAGAAGTAGACGTCACAATAGCCTGGTTTACGTCACAAAACTGATGATAATGTGTTGACCAAAGGGTTTTATTAATAGTAACTTTACGTAAAAAAATAATGTGAATTTGAGAGCGGTGCCGAATTTGAAAGTTGATGTTTATTTACAAGGTTTCGCTTGTTTCGGTATAATAAACAATTCACTGCATGAATGTTCGGGAAACATGAAGACTTATTCAGCCAACAAATATCATATTCCCCTCGGGCGAAACCCTCGGGGAATATGATTTTTCTTGGCTGAATAAGTCTTAATATTTCCCTCACTATCATGCAATAAATGTATAATGTTCAATCAAAGCCGTTCTATATAGATTAATTAGTATGTTTGTTTGCATCATTTCCATGGTGAATTATCGGCAATTCATATAAAATATCTCTTTCAAAATTTTAGTTTAGTTCTTGTTTCCAATAACTCGTAAGCGAACTTATATTTGAAAGAGAAAAGAATAAAAGAGCAAAAAATAAAAAAATTAAAAAGGCATTTCAATTTAAAACAAAATCAGAACAGAGAAGTATTGACGTAGATATGTTTGACTTTTAAAAACGAAAAAGTCAATTGCAATATAACGTTAATATTTCTTAAAGGTAAACGTAATGCCCATGTACTCGCCCGATTTATGTACAGATAGCGTATTATAAAAACCAGATATTTTGATTTTCCTTGATTATAAAAGAAATGGATAACAAAATTGACAAATCAATTGAAAATACAATCATGTTTCATAAAAACACAGGTAATCAAAGATTACTAAGCTCACCTCGACGAATGTAATCAGTTTAAATAATGTAAATCTCACATCATCTCTCTTAATAAACATCCTGACTAAAATATTCACGCAAGTTCTGTTTAAGTGGGTTTTATAGTTTTTTGGGAATTAACCTTTTCCAACATCTTTAATTTGTTCACTAATCAAGAAACTGTTTTTCATTTCGTTCTTCCGAAGCAAGTTAAATCATACAGGCCATAAAATTACTAAGCTTCTCTAATTACATTACCCTGGAAACTCATCTGGGAAATGTAGGTCAGATCCAGCATTTGAAGCAAGTCTGTTAGTGTTCTTTCCTTGATGCATTGTCCATGCAAGTTTGATATAGATAGGGCTTAGAGCTACTTTGGAATGGACATGTTCCAAAAACTTTAACCTTTTCACTCATTTAGAAAATTCATGTCAGATCCAGCATCCGAATCAAGTCTTGTTGTTTCAATCCCAAGAGGTATCCTACATGAAAGTAAGGGCCAAGTAAGGCTGATAGCTACTTTGAGATGTACCTGCTCAAATACCTGGTCACTCATCTGGAAAATGTAGGTCGGATCTAGCATTCAAAGCAATTCTGTTAGGGTCCATCCCTAGATGCATCATCCGTGCAAGTTTGGTCCAGTTAAGGTTTAGAGTTACTTGGAAATGGACCTCTTCCAAAACAAACTAATCACCCATCTGTTAAATGAAGGTACGATCCAGAATCCGAAGCAATAATGTTAGTGTCCATCCTTAGATGCATCAATCATGCATGACTAGCCAGGTAGAGGTTTTCGGTACTTGGGAATGGATTTGCTCATTCAAATGCAACTTAGACGCCGATACCAACGCCAACGTCGGGAGCATTGCGAAAGCTTATCTCAACTTCGTAGAGGTGGTATAAAATTAGAACACAATTGATTTTAAGTCCATAAAGCAATAGAATATAACATCTGAAAAATTAAAACGTTGTATATCACAACTATGTTTGAATAAAATAAACTTTAACATCAACGTGTCTTGTTGTTTCTATTTAAAATGCATAATTCATGTTGCAATATTTGAATTTATGAATTATAACTGAAGAGGCGACTGGGGTTTCTCTGCGCATTATAGTAAAGTGGTAGCCCGCGTGATGCAGTGGTTAGAGCGTCTGCTTTAGAGTCGCAAAGTAAGGTATTTAGCCCTTCGTCGCAGTTTCGAATCCAACTGTTGGACCTGGAGACCTGTCCTTCGGATGAGACTGTATACACTGAGGTCGCGTCTCGCACAAGGTGCAGGCGCGAAAAAGATCCCTCCCTGCTCAATGGCCCTAAGTGCCATATAAAGAACAACATTTGCAGCTCTCCAGCTGCAAGTGGTGGCGCCTCCATATGAGTGAAAGAATCTAGAGAGGGACTTTAAACAACATACAATCAATCAATCTTGGTTAATTAAAGTATTATAAATGGTTTAAATAAACTTTTTAAAAAAGCGTTCGGATACCTGATTTGCGTTCAAAGTATTTTAGTTAAATAGTCGATCTTTCATACCATTTGCAATATTGAAAAATGTTGCTTTATATCAATATGTTTAATGCCTAAATACTAAAAGAACATTTACGTAATTAAACGTACCATCCAATACCAGTTAAAATAAAATACAAAAGTATTTTGTAATTCGATGAAATATTGTAGTGCACATAAATAAAAACGATGTCATGACTGTAAGTAGCAACACAGTACACAAAACTATGCTTCAATTATATTTTAACAGTAAAAAGATATATTTTTGCAGAGTATGAAAAAATTATTGACTTATTTCCCCATGATTATATGTATCAAATACATGTTAGAGAAGCCAGAATCTTGTGCGTACCTATACCTATTAATAGCCTAGCTGCAACTGAGATGACTGATTAAGCAAGATGAAGCCCAAGTAATTAAGTGCTCTACCGTTTAGAATTGAAAGACGGTAGAATTGTTTGATTCAAGTTTCAGTTAAAGAGGTTTTCTACGTTAGGGGTTTATAATTACCACAGATCTAACTATGTCGGCAAAATTTGTTCTGTGTCGCACGCATAAAATTTGAATTGTGACTATGTCGGACGCAACCGAGTAAAAAGCTCACGGAAAACCCTTGGATATATGAACAACAAACAGTCTTCAATATCAAAGTCCATAAAAAATTACAAAGTAGGAGCAAAGCAAAAACGGACCTCCAAAACATCAGGTTTTGGACCAGATCACACCCGCCGTGTTCTCTTTGTCATGATTGGGAAATAACGGAAAAATCCTGCATTGATTCAGTGTATAGATAATGGACTATCAATGATAAATTGCATTTGTTAAAATGGTTATTGTATCCACCAAAGAACTTACGAAATTATGACTTTAAACTAAACCGCTGACATTCATGTTTCATCAACTTATTTGTCAATAGTTTACGTCCTTATAGAAATTATTCATACGTAGAGCATGCTCTTGTGTATCAAATCAACTGGGATACAAAAACTCTGTATGCAGGTGATGAAGGTATATCGCTTCATAAATAAGAAAAAACTGACGATAAAAAAGTTAAAGTCATCACGTTTATCATAGTGTTGGTGGTAAGCTTATCCTTAATGTCTTTTTCAAGTAAAATACCAAAGTATGAAACAGATGTGTAAGACTCCGTGGTATTTTCTTTTATAGCAACCTCACTAGGATATAGCGTATCGATATAGGAATGGACATTATCATTCTTAATTGATTGATTGATTTTATATTGTTTAACGTCCCTCTCGAGAATTTTTCACTCATATGGAGACGTCACCGTATGCTGGTGAAGGGCTTCAAATTTAGACCTATACTCGGCACTCAGGGCCATTGAGCAGTGAGGGTTCTTTATCGTGCCAATGCCTATGTGACACGGGACCTACGTTTTTAAGGTCATATCCGAAAGACCTTGACTTTCACTTCCAATTCCGAGCGCTTAACGAAGGAACAGTCACTAGCTATTTTTACGTCTTAGGTTTGACGCGGCGCCGCGAATGAGAATCGAACCCGGGGATCCCGAGCACGAAGCGAACGCTCTACCACTAGGCTACCGTGAACGGTCCATTCTTAATTGACAATATGTCGTCAATACGAGGGTTTTTAGAAAGATTCGTGGACACATTGATTTACGGAAAACCTATTGTGTACTGTGAAATGTGACCTATATCTAATTAAATTTCTGTCTTTTGTTTATTAGTATGTAAAAAATCAGGTCCATTTACTAAAACCTTGAAAATTTACAACAATTTTACAGGGCGATCATAGGATTCACGGAGCAACATCTTGGCGTTAATGACGTGACAAGCAGATTTCAATATGATCAGGTTTGGAAACCATGCAAAATCTTGAAACGCAACTTCCATGCGAGAAGTTGGGTTACTGATGTATTGCATGGAAGTGATAATGCACAATGTTAATCCTTCCATTCTGTTAAATCTACTATCAAATGAATATAATTGTCTATTTTATTTGTACACAATGTCTAGCAGCATTCTAGTTTATTTTTTGCCATTTTTCTATGTACACACATACATTTTAGTAGCTCGATGCTCCATGACTTTCAATGACGTTCCCATGCTTGGCTTTCATATTACGTGTTGATTAATATGTATAAATGGGTATAAAACATTCGTATACCATCCAATTCAATTCATAATTTCACCAAGTGACGTTTCATGCATACTGTAGCGGCAGGTAAAATTTCAACGTTATTTTTGCGCTACAGCTGTGCATATTTTAATTTCATTAAAAAGTCTATGTAATATAAACGTTCGAAAAAGTAGCGTGCTCCGTGAGGCATGTTTTAGCAAAACAATATAGCTGTATATTTTTTTTTTAAATATCACCTGAAAACATCAAATCTTTGTATATTTATTGGAAAATGATGAGGTTTTTATCTGGAGAGTTTCTAACAACCCTCGTATATCTTAATGTCGAATTGAAGGCCAAAGCCAGTTTTTTTTTTTTTTTTTTATTTATTTATTTTTTTTTTTACGCAGATTTTTTAATATTTATATACAAAATGTTTCCTTCCCTACTGTCAATATATTAGTGAGGAGTAAAGAAAGAGGCTTGGTTGAACATTTAATTGAACCCGTGATGTATCTTTGTTTGAAATTATTATGTTATTTCGGAATCCAGTAGATATTCGTATATGGTAGTTCAAATTCATTTTGGTTCTTCGGGATATCAAAATTATTCAAATTTGTCATATGAAAGTTATCTACATGTATCTATATCGAAATATACCATAAAAATTAATCCTGTAGTGAAATGACCGTCCGGATTCGAAACGCTGAATTCCGGAAAATCGAAAGAAAACAGTTTTAAAAATTCCGTTACCATGAAAAATCGTCCTGAATCTGAAGAGTCAGGATATCTGGCGTCCTGATATCTAAAGGTCCACTGTAAATGCAATTGTATATTGAGACGGTTCCTTAAAATACCTGGGGTAGATTTTCCCTAAACGTGTTCTATACACTGGGGTCAATGTAAGTTACATATGTTATAGAATAACGCAAGGAGGTTAAGTCTAAATATGGGGATTTCTATGCAAATGAGCTAATAAAAATGCATAAATCATATAATCTATACACAAAGAAAGTTCAAATTTATTTGCTTATTCATACTTAGTGCCCATAGCATACTATAGCTAGTACACATTATGACGTCATATTATGATGTCATTTTTCTTTCCCATTCAAGCATATAACACATCTCAAAATAAGAACGTCGACGCAAGGGCATACTTTATCTAATGTATAACAAATAATGTGTAATATCAAAGACAATATTCTGAAGATTACTAAAATTAATGCACAAATCCTATGCACTTTCTCAATTGATAAAAATTGAAGGAAACTTACACTGGACTGTGAATTTTTACCCTGTTTCAACTGAATTTCTAGAAATTGTATTAACTAAACAATTGCAATGTCGATATTTGTACAGCGATATCTTGAATCCTTGGAATATCCTGCGTCTATTTATAGTTTGTTTCTGTAAAAAAAGAAAGTAAGGTATGCCCTTTTCCCGAAGCGATTTTGTTGATATTTCCTATTCACTTGTGTAGTAAGGGTCGATCACACATAAAATGACGTCATAGTGTAAACTGGCTATCGCATATCGTGGGTATTAAGAATGTTTTAGAAAGGAAGTCTTAAGTTTTTCTGCGTGGAAGGTATACATGTAGCTATTGTGGGTTAAACTTAGATTTTTAGCATAGAATCTTCCACACGTAGCCTTTACTCACTTGCGTAGAGTTCTTTTTTTTTCTTTCGACATAAAATGAAAAACTCTCAATCGGCTCCCTTACACGACTTAAAACAACGTCTACACTCATGTTAGATCTTCTTTCTTCGTTACAACATTCATCATTTATTCACTGGGTAAGAAGAGGAGTTGTGAGTAATTGTTTTTAATCATTTATAGTAGCACCAGATATTTATGAATGTCTTCTCTTGAAAATAAAATTCTACTATAATAACGTTCAAAAATTTAATAGTTGTTACTAAAAGAACAACACTTACATTTCTTTGCAGCTATATGTATATTTTGTAGTACCTTCACTGGAACAAAAAATTGTAGGATTAATGAAAATACAAAGCCATAGACAATAGTCTCTTTGTGCCATTTCATCAAAAATGCATTTTGAATGTGGATAACGCTTTCATCTTCCTTATCAGATGTGTTTTATTTGTATTTCCGCTCGAAGAGTTATTTTTGTATGAGTTATTTTTGTATGAACCATTATCACACACGTTCTCTGCATTTCTTGACAAGTGCTAACAGCAGTCAATTTGGCATTTTATCATTCCTCGTCAAAGTTACACGCATATATAGATGCAAATGCCATCTTATTGGAGATGGTAACATTGTATTTCATTACTAGTATGCAATTTCAAAAATATTTCAACAGGTTTCTCTTTTTTGTCAATTTTTTGATGTTGATTTACTTCAGAAAAGAAAACTTTCCATGGGAAAAAACATTTAATAAAAAAGATTCAAATAAAGAGTTCAAATAAAAAATGACAAAGAAATAGATTTTTATAATGCCTATAAGTTTAAATTTTGACGAGGAATAATAATTAAGAACCCTATAAATGAAAGATGTGCGTAGAAAGAATGAACTATGAAGAAAGATCTAACATGAGTATAGACGCTTTTTATTTAGTTAATAATGTTATGGATTGAAATGTTGCAACATAAATCATGTATTTTTTAATAGAACAATTGAAAAAAACTTCATGTGAAATTTTTATTTTATTATTAATTCGTACGTGAATTTATGCATTTTAACAACTTCATTTGCGATGAATTTCATATGAGATTCAACAGATACATTAAGTAATCTATGTATATGACCCCCCCTCCCCCCCCCCATTTGAACTGCAATAAAATGGTGTGAATAAATCTCCTTTCATAAATGAAGGTACCGGTACGTTGTCAAGTAGAATTTTTAAAGAGTATAAGTATGAAAACCAAGATTTTTTTTATTCAACTAGTCTTTACATGTATGAAGCAGAGCATCACAAAAAACTTTCAAAATTGGACTTTTTACCACAGTTTTTACATCTACATAAAACTTTGACCCCTGGGGGTTATGATCTGAACATATTTAATGTACACTTTCTGAAGATGCTCTCATATATAGATATGACCAACTATGGCTTTGCTGTTCTTGAGAAATTTAAAAAAAAATCCTTATATATTCGTATGTAAAAATTTGATCGTCCATTGTGGCCCCGCCCTACCCCTGGGGGTCATGATTTGAACAAACTTGAATTAAGGTTCTCAATGAACTCTTGTACTATGTTGGTCCTAACACAGTAAATTTTTCTCCTACATAGTAACAATTCAAATTTTATGCGTGCGACACAGTAAAACTTTTGTCGACACAGTAAGATTTGTGATAATTAGAAAATCGAAACATATACATTCTCTCTATCTGAAACATAATTGATGAAACAATTTTACCGTCTTTCAATTCTAAGAAGTATCTAGAACATTTAATCAGGGCTTCACCTTGCATAATCAATTATCTCCGAAACACTCGCTGGACTTAGGCATGAAGGAACGATGACAAATGACGCGCTGTCAATTACCAGTGAATCAGCTGTAAGTACATTATCTGGCAACTCTTGATCTGCTTCCAAAAATAGGCATCAATTGAGATTTAACAAACTATTTTGTGAAATAGAGGAGATGTTCCTGGTTTTCACGAAAAATCTTGTAGATCGCACTGCCTACTCTGACAGAATTTTTTTTTAAAAAACCTCGAAAAACGGCTCCAGTCATCTTCATAATTTGCCAACTTTGACTTTAAAGAATCAGTGTATGGGATTTAATAGGCGAAATGTATTTTTCTGACATATAAAATATGAATAATCACCTTCACATATTCCTAAAATATTCCTAAAAGGAATTCCCAGTCTTGTTTTTTTCCCAACGTCTCCTATTTTCAATTTTTCATCTGCAATTTCAGTTTCGACAACAACTTTAAAGATCCAACGACTCTTATTCAAATGGATTTCACATTTCCAAAAACATTTCAAAAAAAAAAAAAACTTTCTAAGCGGCATGGGTTTCTTCGTGATGTTTTTCTTCTCCTTGTGAACATATCCACATATTCATGTTAACTCTTCAGTGCATCTGTAAGTGTGCTGATTTCTGGCCAAGCTATCACCCAGCACATTAATGCAGCTGGATCTTCAATTAATCATCACCTTTTACAATTTAGCATTGTTCTGCTTATGGGCTTGACCAATGGCAATGTTTGTGAAAACTAACTATTAGTCTTTCTAAAGGTTAGGATTCCTTGTTCAAATTCTAAGTATATGTCTGGGTGTTTTGTTTGCACCTGAAAGTGAAATGGTAGCCATCGAGCATAACTGATGTGAACAAGGGACAAGGATATGGAATCAGATATGATAAAGATTCTTTGTAGAGCCTGAAATCTGATAACCTGCAAGACCTTACAATAGAGAAGACATTACAAGTTCCAAAAGAATTTTTGGCCAAAATTTAAATTGTAAAATCTTTTTTATATTGTTCTGAACTCCAGGTAAAAATAGGTAATCTATTTCAATTTCATCGCAATTATAGAGTTCCTTTGCATTTTTTATGCCTTTTTATCAAGTTATACAGACAGCAGGCAGAAATCTGATGATCTTGCCTTGTTTAAGCAAAATTAGAAACTGTTAAGAAAGACTCAGCGGTTCCAGAATATGCAACTTATGTGTGCTTGAGTTAATGTTGTAATCCAGCTGCCTCCTTTCAACAAAACACCAAACAGTTTGAAAGCTGCCATTTCAATATATGAAACCCATCAAACAAAAAAAAAAAAAAAAAAAAAAAAAAAAACAGCAAATCTTCACCATAAATTTTTGGTCATTCTTATTGTATCTTTTGGCAAGAACAAATAAAGGTTGGTTACAAGCCACAAAGGCGTTTGCCTTGAATACAAAAAGGATGGTGCTGCCTCCAATTTATCCATGGCATGTGGATAGCGAATGATTACCTGTTGTTTTCTGTCACAAATACAAAATTGATTGGTTACCTTTTGTATAACGTTCCTTGAAGGTTTATTTCAATCATTAAGATTAAACGTTGTTTTATAAAATATTTCACTCAACGAGATTTTACGTTCCCTGAAGTATTATTTCATTTAATGAGATTTAACGTGCCTTGAAGAAGTGTTATACTTATTGAGGATTTTCAAATATAAAATTTCACATGGTATCCATGCCCACTGGATAGTGAGGGAACGCTTGCAATGCTTTTGCAAGATTTCTTCCACAAGTTTTTAAAAAGGCTTCTCGCTACTGTGGTGATACGTTTAATTCGGTGTATATGTAAATTCTTCAATAGGGAACGATATAATGCGTAATGAGAAAATCATTCTGTCTTTATTTATAGAAATCAAGTTGAAATATGATTTATGTATAGTCTAGTTAAACGTCAAAGATATCTTTAAACGACCAAAGTATGATTAAGGATGTATTCACTTTAACAAAAGAATTGACCTTTAGGCGAGAACAATTTCAAGGAAAAAGTGACATTTACAAATCAATTTTTATTTGTTGTTTTCTACCGTATATACGTCTAAATTTTTCAAATTTGTATTTTATACCTAAAATTTATTATTTACAACTTTACAATAAACCTCCAAAGTTGACCGAAACAACATTTTGTCCGTCAAAACGTTGATTTTTGCATGATATTTGGCCTTGAAGTCCATCAGGGCTGATCTGCCCCTAAATAAAGTTATAATATTTTGATAGGTTAGGATGTAAGGAATAATTTAAGATAAGATTTTTTTAGGGGCACCCCTGCCCTGGGGTCGAAATTCACAAAAAACCTACACAAAATAAGGAAACCTGATTTTCATAATCTGCTTTAAATTTATGCCAGTTATTCTTAAAGATAGACTAGCTCAGTTGATATAAGTGCTGACTTTTACAACTTGGATACTTTCTTTTTAAAGGCGGGGGTTCAAATCCATCTGGTACAACACTTTTAAAGTTTTAAATTTCGCTTTTTCAGAGACTATTTTAATTTTGTTTATAGTCTTGTGTATTTTTTCTTCGATTATCTAATCCCTTATGCATGTCCATTCTTGATATAAGAAACACTAAAGAGATATCAAATCGTAAAAATCCAATGTACAGTTGTCAGTCAGGCGGAACGAACCTCAATAAGCACACTTTCTCCGAGGACAAGAATAACTCACTATGTGTTACTCAATAGAGGGTTTCTTGGCAACATTTAGCTGCGATGAATTTCAATTGTATATATTCTTCAGAATTTAATCACATTGATTTTGGCTTCATATTTCAGTAAATGCACTCCCTTGGATTTCATTAAGGCCTATATAATTTGCACACATTAAGGACATGTTTTAATATCTCTACAGATAAATAGCCTAGACATATAAGGAATGTAATTTTCGAGACAGTAGACATTACCTTTATGCAGAAGTAAAGACAAATATCAATTATTACATTTTGAGATAACAAACTCAGGAAATCAATGAAAGGGTTCCTCCTACGTCTACTCACTGAAATAAAGATTTAGGAAAAACAAATTGTTTTATGTAATCAGCCTAATGTCATTAATCAGAATGGAAATCGACAAGTTTTTTGTAGAGGAATAAACCAAGCCCGGTCCTATTGGTCAGATCCCTATTTATAATGAAGTGATCCTTTGGTTTTAAATGACTGTATGTGAGGCCATACTGCATGAAAATGCCGCAATTTTGTTTAAGTGTCAGCTATCTTGAAAATAGCAAAAATTGCGGTGACCAACGACCTTTTTAAATTAAGTAGTATCAGATAAACATTTGTTCCAAATTTCATGTGAACTGCTTTGCTGAAATGTTGATCTAAGTCGCTACACTATATTGAGTTTTCGGACTAGTGGGCCGTCGGACTTGTGAACCTTCGGACTAGTGGGCAGACTCCTCTTTTATTTTTATCAATATGCACGACCATAACCATTTTCGTAACGAATTATTGATTTTATTATTTTTAAGTGTGTGCATGTATTCTTTGGTTATTATATTGAATATTGATTCAGTTGCAAAATTTAGTTCCTCGCGTTAAACAGTAA